TCCCAAGTGCTGAGCATGCAGGCATGTACTAGTATACTCAATTTATTTTTTCCAATAATAATACATTTTAAAAGGAATCCTAGGTTTGAGAAAATTTGATGGATTAGGGTATCTAGAGTGTCAGAGTAATAAGACTGACCAGCATAGCAATCTTTTTATCTAAAACATATTCTCTGAACCCTACTCCTTAGTAGTAGTATCTGTTCTTTTCCTTAAAAAGATAAAACTTAGCTATAATTTACTTAGGAAATTGCCATATGGAAGCTGATACCCTCTTTGTTTATTTTTACTTTCCCTGAGTAATCTCCAGTGCACTAATTTTTCTTTTTAGTAGAAAGAATGCATGTCTATTAAAAGAATTCAAATATTTTGATAAATATCCAAAGTCAGGAGCCTCCATCTTCACTGTGAAGTCATCAGTGTACATGTCTGTGATCTTTCTGCAGATGTGCATAGCTTCCATATAGGAACATTATATACTTATTATACTTATGCAGTTTTTTTTCACTCAGTCACATGGTATGGCTACCATTTAAGAAATGTTAATTGATTGGTCAATCTTAGTAGCTGAGTTTCCATTTTAAAACTGTACTATGTGACTTAAAGGGGTTCTTGTTAGGCTAATCTAATCAGTTTTTCTAGCATCATTGTAAATAGTGCTTTGATACTGTTTTTATATATGAATGTTTATTGTATGAAATTGTTTTTGTTTTTGTTTTTTTTCTGGAACTCATTGTGTAGACCAGGCTGGCCTCAAACTCATTCACCTGCCTCTGCCTCCCAAATGCTGGGATTAAAGGCTTAAATGAGTGTGCTTACACCTCCTGGTTTGAAATGAAAGGCTTAGAAAGGCTTAAATGAGTGTGCTTACACCTCCTGGTTTGAAATTGTGTTCTTATGACAAATTGTAAAAAGTAGGATTTTTGTTAGTTTGTTTTTTTGAGACATTGTCTTACTATGTATGTTCCTCTGGCTGTCCTGGAACTATGTAGGGCAGGTTGGCCTTGAATTCATAGAGCTGTACTTGGTTCAGCGCTCACCACCACCCAACTTGTAAAAAGTAGGGTTTGAACATGTATTTGTTCACACATTTGTTAGTAGTTTTCATATTTGGTCTTATCTGAGAGGCCAAGAAATGATTTTTAGTTTTCATAGGCTCATCATAGGCTGGGGAGATGGCTCAGCAGTTAAGAGCACTGGCTGCTCTTCCAAAGGACCTGAGTTCAGTTCCCAGCAACCACTTGGAGGCTCACAACCATCTGTCAAGGTCTGGTGCCTTCTTCTGTCCTGTAGGCATATTTGCAGGCAGAACACTGTATATATAATAAATAAATCTTTTTTTTTTTTTTTTTTTTTTTTGGTTTTTACGAGACAGGGTTTCTCTGTATTGTTTCGGAGGCTATCGGTCCAGCCTGGCCCCGAACGCACAAAGATCCGCCTGCCTCTGCCTCCCGAGTGCTGGGATTAAAGGCGTGCGCCACCACCGCCCGGCTATAAATAAATCTTTTTTAAAAAGCTCATCATTCTGTTTTTTTAGAGGGAATAGTGCAGTTTTGATAAAATAACACATAATATTAAAACATCGTATAAAAACAAGGTCTGATTCTTAATTTCAAAAAGTGATCTTGGGGTGGTGAGTGAATTCCCAACATTAGACAGTTTTCACAAACCCCGGTGACCTAAGTCCAGTTGGTGATACCTACATGCCAGGGAAGAACTGACTTCCAGAGTTGTCTTCTGCTTTCCACATGTGTGTCATGGCGAATGTTCACACACAACAAATGAAATAAAATGTGATTCAAAGTAAAACAACAATAACAAACCCAGATCTGGTCCCCTGTTACCTAGTTAAAACTTTTAATGTGTAAACATTATAGGTGAGAAATTATTCAGCCACAGGGGTAAAAATGGAACAAGGAAAAAAAAAAAGAACAAATGGAAATACAGAAAACCAGAAGGAGTTGGAACTTAACCTGTAGTCTTTTAGGGTCCTGACTGGATCTGAGAATCAAATTGATTGAAGGTGAATTATTAGGAAAAAAGCATACAAATTTCACAGAAATTTTACATAACCTGGGACCTCATAAGGGAACCAAGACTCAAAGAAATGGGAACATAGATATGCTTTGGATCTTGGGTTGGACAAAGGCAGCGGTGGAAAGAAATGGGAACATAGATACGCTTTGGATCTTGGTTGGACAAAGGCAGTGGTGGAAAGAAATGGGAACATAGATATGCTTTGGATCTTGGGTTGGACAAAGGCAGAGGTGGAAAGCAGACAAATGATGCACAGAGATTACAAAACAAGGTCTACCTGTTGGATTCTCTGGACGGTGGCTTCTATTAAGAATGTTCTTCGGGGCTAGAGAAATGGCTTAGTGGTTGAGAGTTTACTGCTCTTATTAGAAGATCTAGGTTCAGTTCCTAGCCTCCACCATGATGGCTCACAACCACCTGTAACTTCAGCTCCAGGGAATCCAGTGCCCTCCTCTGGCTTCCTACACACATGTAGTGTATGGAAACTCTTACAGGCACACACATGAAAACAATACATCTTTTCAAAAAGAAGAAAAAAAGTAGAAAAAGATGTTTCCTTTGGTGTACAGAGAAAAGACATCTTTCTTGCTTGTCTAAAAACAAAAACAAAAAAGAACCTCTTATTTCCAGGAATGGGGGCTGTGAGAATTGTCTTTTTGTATGCAAACTAACACTTGTGTCAGAGTGATGTACTTGGAGTCTTAGATAATAATGATTAATGTGAAAAATGGGCTTGGAGACATCTGGCTTTTAAGTCCTGATTCTGCCTCGTAGTAAGCCACAAGACCTGGGGAAGCCTGTTACCCACGGTCTTAGTTAGGGTTTCTGTTGATGTGAAGGGACACTGTGGCCATGACAACTCTTAATAAAGAAAACATTTAACTGGGGCTGGCTTACAGTTCAGAGGGTTAGTCCACTATTGGCATGGCGGGAAGCATGGCAGCATGCAGGCAGACCTGGTGCTTGAGAAGGAGCTGAGAGTTCTCCATCTGGATCAGCAGGAAGACAGCAACACTGGGTTTGGCTTGAGCTTTTGGAACCTCAAAGCTGACCCTCAGTGACAGGCTTCCTCCAACAAAGCCACACCACCTAATAGTGCCACTCACTATGAGCCTATTTTCATTTAAACCACCACTCCTACCTGTTTATAATACTCCTTAGGGGTATTCTAAGGATTAAATAACAATAATTATAGTTAATGCTTTTGAAATTTTTTTTTGGAGACAGGGTTTTTCTGTGACTTTGGAGGCTGTCCTGGAACTAGTTCTTATAGACCAGGCTGTTCTTACTATATATGTCAGATATATTAAATGCTTCCATGTATTTTATGTATAGTTAATATGTATTATCTTAGTTCTCACAAACCTGCAAAGCGTAGGTAGATTTCACTCCTGATGGAACTACAATAGGGATTTAAAAAAAGTTGCTCTTAGCAACACATCATGGAACTGGCGGCGGCAGCAGCAGCAGCAGCAGCATATGAGCGCCTAGCAGTTGAACCACTGGGGCAGTGAGCGCTGTCCTCCTCGCACGGAAAGCACAGAAGCACTTAGCCCTTTGCATAGCAAGGGGGATTTATTTATTCTTTGAGACAGGGTCTTGCTTTGTAGCTCTTGCTGACTTGGAATTCACTATGTAGACTGAAATGACCTCAAACTAGTGTTGATTCTCCTATATCTGCTTCCCAAGTGCTAGAATTGCAGGTGAGAACTACCTCACCCAGCCTGCATAATTGATATTTATGTTTAAGTTACCTTTTAAAAATAGCATGTAAGAGAATGAGAAGCCATAGGCTGAAAGAAAATAATTGCAGAAAATATCAGATAAAGGTTTGAAAACTCTTAAAACTCAAAAATTAGAAATTAAAAAAATAAAACAAATGATGAACAGTTACCTCTCCAAAGAAGATATACAGAGCACAAGTAAGCACTTAAAAGATGTCCCACTGGGCTGGGGAGATGGTTTGGAGGTTAAGAGCACTGCCTGCTCTTCCAGAGGACCTGGGTTCAATTCCCAGCACTCACATGGCAGTTCACAGCTGTCTGTAACTCCAGTTCCAGGGGATCCACCTTCACACAGACATATACGCAGGCAAAACACCAATGCACATAACATAAGAATAAAATAAATTAAAAAAAAAGATGTCCCACATATGTCTGTAGAATCACGATTTGAAGCATACTCATAAGACTATTGGTAATTACACAGACACCATTGGGATGTGGTGCAGCATTCTCATTCATCACTAGCAGGGGTGCAAAATGACACAGCCATTTTGGAATCCAGTATGGCAGTTTTCTGCAAAACTAAGCCCACTGTATGTTCCAAGCAGCTATGTTGTTTGGTATTTACTCAATAAGATGAAAACTATCCATACCGTAACCTTCACCTACATGGTGATTCATAATTTCCAAACTTGGAAACAGCATATGTCATTAATTAGGTGAAAGGGTATACAGGCAGTGTAAGAGTATTCATCACTAAAAAGAAATGAGCTATCAGACCATGAGAAGACCTTCAGGAACTTTAAATATATGTAACTAAAATGCATATGAAAGCCTATGATTCTATGTGCCATTCTGGAAAAGGTTAAGCCAAGGAGGTAGTATAAGATGAGTGGTTGCCAGCAGTGAGAGGAGGCAGATGTGAAGAGTCAGAGCACGGAGGGTGATCAGACGGTGGCTACGTTCATTACACATTTGTTAGAGCCCATAGAGTTGAAGCCCCGAGACTGAGCCCAGTGTGAGCTGTGCATAGAAGGGCAGTGCTGTGCTAGTGTAGGCTCACTGGCTTCAGCAAATGTACCAGGATGGGGCAGACTGTGTGCTGGGCTTGTGGGGACACAAAGGAACTCTGTGCTGCTGCTCTGTGTTGCTGTGACACTAAACATTTTCATAAAAAACATAAAATGTAAAAGCAAGCATGTAAAGTGTGACAGACATTTCTGATACTTTCGTTTTCAGGCCCAGAATAAAGAGACCAATGTTTTGGCTGCTGCAAAGGTGATTGACACCAAATCTGAAGAAGAGCTTGAAGATTATATGGTTGAGATTGACATATTAGCATCTTGTGATCACCCAAACATAGTCAAGCTTCTAGATGCCTTCTATTATGAGAACAATCTTTGGGTATGTAATTTTCATTCCTTCACAGAGTAGCTGAAATAAGTTACTTGTCCTAAAGAGGTTGTGAAAGCTCATTTTGTGTGTTGCCTCTTCTGTGTAGTTACTTGCATTCCTTGATTGAGGGTTGGTCTGCCATGAGTCATTAGCAAGATAAGGATCCTCAGTTTCAGTGGATGTTCAGCGTTAGTTTCAGATTATACCATTTCATTACCATTGTTTGACACTGGATCTAGGTGGGAAAGCTTGTTCAAGAATATTGAAATTTCCAAAATATGTCTGTGTTTGTAATTTCAATTTAAGTATTAAATATTTTTGAAGTATTGTTTTTCATTTCTATTTTTGAAGGATTGTTCTTTTTCTTTTTTTCTTTTTTTGAGATAGGGTTTCTCTGTGTAACAACCCTAGCTGTCCTGGAACTAGCTCTGGACCAGGCTGGTCTTGAACTCACAGCAATCTGCCTGCCTCTGCTTCTCTAGTACTGCAGGGATTAAAGGCATGTGCTATCATGCAATACTATAAACTATGGGAAATGTTAAATTTTATATTAGACTCAACTTCACTGCATGATGAAGTGGTTAAAATGATACAGATTTTGTTAATTCTTAAAAAATATGTACAAATAGATAAAGCAATGATATTTCAATATTTACTTGAACTAACATAGTTTTATCAAGAGCTTTTTTTTTTTTTTTTTGGTTTCTTTTGTTTTTTTGTATTGTTTTGGAGCCTGTCCTGGAACTCGCCCTATAGACCAGCTTGGCCTGGAACTCACAGAGATTTGCCTGCCTCTGCCTCTCAAGTGCTGGGATTAAAGGAGTGTGCCACCACCGCCTGACCAAGAGCTTTTTTTTTATATAAATTAAAAAATACTGATTTATGTGTGTGGATGTTTTATCTGCATGTATGTCTGTGTACCATGTGCATATGTATGGAGGCCAGAAGAGAACATCAGCTCTCCTGGGACTGGAGTTACAGAGGGTTGTGAACTTCCATGTGGGTCCTGGGAATCGAACCTGGGTCTTGTGGAAGAGTAGCCAATGAGCGCTCTTAACTGTTGAGCCATCTCTCCAGCCTCTCAAGAAAGCTTTTTACAAAACATAGTTTTCGATGTTCTTAGAATAAAGGCCATCTGGCCTGGCATTCAAAGGCTACTCTTTTGAACGCAGCTGCTGAAGCTGGTTTGGCTGGTCAGCCCACTTTTGTGCCTTTATCTCTCTTCAAAACTTGTAATGAACTTGACAGTAGGTTGTAATCAGCAGGCATTTATGAAAATATTATAGTAGTATTGTGGTGGTGCACACCTTAATCGAAACACTCAGGAGGCCGAGGCAGGTGGATTTCATTGAGTTTGAGGTCAACTTGGTCTGCATAGTGAGTTCCAGGACAGTCAGGGCTATGTAGCGAGATCCTCTCTCAAAAATAAAAACAAAACAAAAAATTTTTAGCCAGAGGGAAGATGTATGGAATTACACTGTTTGCTAAAGTATTTAAAAATATTTTTGGTGTGGTGTCTTCTAAAATACTTGTTCAGGGCTCTAGCTGAGTATTTCTAAATATTACAAGAAAAACTAGACATGTTAACAAATAGACCTTTACTTGACACTATTACAAAATAAAAATTTGGTTTACTATGAGGTACAATATAATGGGAGACATAGACATAATGAAATAACCATTATAAAACTGTAGCTAGTGCAGTAAAGAAGGGCAGGCATGTGAGGGCAGTAACTGAGTTCCAGTCCCTGTATTGCGTGCTGCCCGCCCGCCTGCCCGCCTTCTCCCCTCTCTTTCTTTTTAAATTGAAATGGCTGGAGAGGTGGCTTGCACTTAAAAGCATGCACTGCTTTTGCAGAGGCCCCAAGTCTGGTTCCCAGCACCACATTAGGTAATTCCAGCTGTTGGTAATGCTTGCTCTTGGGGATCTGACACTGCCTGGAAGAGCACTCGCTCTTATGTGCACATATCCCTGCAGAGGTACATGAGCGTTAGCATAATTAAAAAAAACCAATCTTCAAAATAAGCCTACCTTTTTTCAGGATTTATTTATTGAAAGTTAATATATTTGGTCACTTAACATTGCAGTAGTTGCTTAACAGATGGAGATAATAAGATGTTTCAATAATAAAATCTTTTGTATGTACAAATAATATTGTAATAGTTAAACAGCATATATTTGGTAATTTTAGAAAAGGATACTAAAATTTATTATTTATAAAATTGGGCATGGCTGGGTCTGGTAAAACATACTTGTCATCAGAATTTTGGAGTCAGAGGCAGGATTGTGTATCTGAATCTAACCTAGACTACAGGAAAACCTGAGTCCAAAATTAATAAAGAAGAGGAGTAAAAGGGAAGATGGGGTGTACTTCTAAAGCGTGTTCTCCTTGTGCATGCTCAGAAGGACTTGACTTACGACTGATGACAAGAACCCTGCATGTTTAACATAGCACTGTTCCTGTAGCCTAGGTAAACCAGTCAGCTTTCATGTATCTGCCTTTGCTGACTCTCTGACGGTTGGTGAACCATAGACACATGTTTTTGTTTGTGTGCAGATCCTCATTGAGTTCTGTGCAGGAGGAGCGGTAGATGCTGTGATGCTTGGTGAGTGTTCTTACATTTGCTTCTTAATTGTTTGCAAATAGAAAGGTTTCAACCATGTGTGTACATATATGTAATTTCAGAGTTCAGTGCATTAAGAAATCAACTTATATTTTAGGTAAATTTAATTCTGAAGTGTAATGTTGACTATTCTATGTCAAGAAATTGTAGAAATTTAACTTGTTATTTTTTATTTTATTTTTATTATTTTAATTTTAAATAGCTTGCTTCACATGTCAATCCTAGTTCCCTCTCCCTCCCCTCCTCCTGCATCCCCCACCATCCCCCCCAGCCTCCCACCCTATGGCCACTTCCTTCCACATAGGGGATATCTAGAGTCTGTCATTTCACTCAGGGCAGGGTCCAGGCACTCCCCTAAGAGTCCAGGCTGAGAGTGCATCCCTCTTTGTGTTATGGACACACGATGTCTGTTTGTATGCCAGGGATAAACACTGATCCACTGCCCAGGGCCCCATAGGTTGCCCAGGCCTCCTCACTGACTTTCACACTCAGGGGGTCTGGATCAGTCCCATGCTGGCCTCCCAGCTTTCGGTCTGGGGTCCAAGAGCTCTCCCCTGCTCAGATCATCTGTCTCTGATGGTTTTGCCAGCTCATTCTTTGCCAATTTGCTATCGCTCCTCTCTCTCTGTCACTGGGTTCCATGGGTTCAGTTCAGTGTTTAACTGTGGGTGTTTGCCTCTGCTTCCATCAGTCCCTGGATGAAGGCTCCAGGATGGTTACAGACATCAGGTTCATTATCAGGAATGGGCATTCGAGGTGGTCTCTCCACTATTGCTTAGCTTGCCAGTTGGTGTCATCCCTTTAGATCACTAGAGGTCTTACTGGTGCCAGATATGTCTTCTAACCTATGACTCCCTCTTCCCCCTGTTCTACCCCCCACTCAACCTTCCTGTTCCCCCATGACCTACACTCTCTTCCTCTTCTCCCCCTCTCTTCTTCCCAGCTCCCACTCCCCCCCCCCCAGCCGTGTTCCCAATCTGTTCAGAAGATCATACCTCTTCTCTGGGGTACCATGCATATCTCTCTTAGGTTCTTTCCTGTTTCCCAGACTCTCTGTCAGTGGAAGTGCAGACTGGCACTATCCTGATCCATGTCTAAAGTCCATATATGAGTGAGTACATACCATGTTTCTCTTTTTGTGACTAGGTTACCTCACTCAGGATGGTTTCTTCCAGTGCTATCCATTTACCTGCGAATTTCAAGATTCCATTGTTTTTTTCTGCTGAGTAATACTCCATTGTGTAAATGTACCACATTTTCTCTATCCACTCTTCAGTTGAGGGGCATCTAGGTTGCTTCCAGGTTCTGGCTATTACAAATAATGCTGCTATGAACATAGTGGAACAGATGCCCTTGTTGTATGAATTTGCATCTTTTGGATATATGCCTAAGAGTGGAATTGCGGGGTCTTGTGGTAGATTGGTTCCCACTTTCCTGAGGAATCTCCATACTGATTTCCAAAGTGGCTGAACAAGTTGGCACTCCCACCAGCAGTGGAGGAGTGTTCCCCTCTCTCCACATCCTTTCCAGCATAAATTGTCTTCGGTGTTTTTGATTTTAGCCATTCTGACAGGAGTAAGATGGTATCTTAAAGTTGTTTTGATTTGCATTTCCCTGATGGCTAAGGATGTTGAGCACTTTAAGTGTCTCTTGGCCATGTTAGCCTCCTCTTTTGAGAATTCTCTATTTAGTTCTGTACCCCACCTTTTAATTGGATCCTTTGGTGTTTTGGAGACTTGCTTCTTGAGTTCTTTGTAAATTTTGGAGATTAGCCCTCTGTCAGATGTGGGGTTAGTGAATATCTTTATCCATTCTGTGGACTGTCTTTTTGTCTTGTTGACTGTGTCCTTTGCCTTACAGAAGTTTCTTAGTTTCAGGAGGTCCCATTTGTTAACTGTCGATCTCAGTGTCTGTGCCACTGGTGTTATGTTCAGGAAGTGGTCTCCTGTAATAACTCCTTGAAGAGTATCTCCCAATTTCTCTTCTAAGAGTTTCAGTGTGGCTGGGTTTATGTTGAGATCTTTGATCCATTTGGACTTAAGTTTTGTACAAGGCGATAGACATGGATCTATCTGCAGTCTTCTGCATGCCAATACCCAGTTATGCCAGCACCATTTGTTGAAGATGCTTTCTTTTTTCCATTGTATAGTTTTAGCTTCTTTGTCAAAAGTCAAGTGTTCATAGGTGTGTGGGTCAAAATCAGGGTTTTCAATTCGGTTCCATTGGTCTACCTGCCTATTTTTGTGCCAATACCAAGCTGTTTTCAGGACTATAGCTCTATAATAGAGCTTGAAGTCAGGTATGGTGATGCCTCCTGAAGTTTCTTTATTGTATAGGGTTGTTTTGGCTATCCTGGGCCTTTTGTTTTTCCATATAAAGTTGATTATTGTTCTTTCAAGGTCTGTGAAGAATTGTGCCGGAATTTTGATAGGGATTGTATTGAATCTGTAGACTGCTTTTGGCAAGATTGCCATTTTTATTATGTTGATCCTACCAATCCAAGAATATGAGAGATATTTCTATTTTCTGATATCCTCTTTGATTTCTTTCTTTAAAGACTCAAAGTTCTTGATATACAGGTCGTTCACTTCCTTGGTTAACATTATCCCCAGATATTTGATGCTGTTTATGGATATTGTAAAGGGTGATATTTCTCTGATTTTTTTCTCAGCCACTTCATCATCTGAAGGTGTTTATCAGCTCTAGGAGTTCCCTTGCGGAGTTTTTCAGGTCACTTATGTAAACTATCATATCATCTGCAAATAGTGAAAGCTTGACTTCTTCTTTTCCTATTTGTATCCCCTTGATCTCCTTTTGTTGTCTTATTGCTCTAGCTAGAACTTCAAGTACAATATTGAAGAGATATAGAAAGAGTGGATAGCCTTGTCTTGTTCCTGATTTTAGAGGAATTGCGTTGAGTTTCTCTCCATTTAGTTTGTTGTTAGCTGTTGGTTTACTGTATGTTGCTTTTATTATATTCAGGTATATTCCTGTTATCCCTGGTCTCTCTAGGACCTTTATCATGAAGGGGTGCTGGATTTTGCCAAAGGCCTTTTCAGCATCTAGTGAGGTGATCATGTGATTTTTCTTTTTGCAGTTTGTTTATATGGTGGATTACATTGATAGATTTTCTAATGCTGAACCATCCCTGCATTCCTGGGATGAAGCCTACTTGATCATGGTGGATGATTTTTCTGATGTGTTCTTGAATCCGGTTTGCTAGTATTTTATTGAGTATGTTTGCATCGATGTTAATGAGGGAAATTGGTCTATAGTTTTCTTAGTTGTATCTTTGTGTGGCTTGGGTATCAAGGTAATTGTAGCCTTGTAAAAAGAGTTTGGCAGTGAGTCTCCTGCTTCTATTGTGTGGAAAACTTTGAGGAGTATTGGAATTAGCTCTTCTTTGAATTTCTGGTAGAATTCTGCACTGAAGCCATCTAGGCCTGGGCTTTTTTTGGTTGGGAAACTTTTGATGACTGCTTCTATTTTCATTAAGGGTTATAGGTCTGTTTAGATTGTTTATATGTTCTTGATTTAGTTTTGACAAGTGATATCTATCCAGGAAATTGTCCATTTCCTTTAAATTTTTGAATTTTGTGAAGTACAGATTTTCAAAGTATGCCCTGATGATTCTCTGGATTTCCTCAGTGTCTGTTGTTATGTCCCCCTTTTCATTTCTGATTTTGTTAATTAGCATGCTCTCTCTCTGTCTTTTGGTTAGTTTGGACAGAGGTTTGTCTATTTTGTTGATTTTTCTCAAGGAACCAACTCTTTGCTCAATGTTTTTCTGGTTTCTACTTGATTGATTTCAGCCCTCAATTTGATTATTTCCTGGCGTCTGCTCCTCCTTGGGGAGTTTGCTTCTTTTTGTTCTAGAGCATTCAGCTGTGCTGTTAATTCTGTAGTGTGACTGTTCTCCAGTTTCTTCATGTGGGCACTTAGTGCTATGAACTTTCCTCTCAGCACTGCTTTCAGAGTGTCCCATAAGTTTGGGTATGTTGTGTCTTCATTCTCATTGAATTCCAGGAAGTCTTTAATTTCTTTTTTTATTTCCTCCTTATTCAGGGATGGTGCAAATTGTGCATTGTTCAGTTTCCATGAGTTTGTATGGTTTCTGCGATTTGTGTTGTTGTTGAATTTTAATTTTAATGCATGGTGGTCTGATAAGACACAGGGGGTTATTCCAATTTTTTTGTATCTGTGGAGATTTGCTGTTTCCTATTATGTGGCCAATTTTAGAGAAGGTTCCATGTGGCGCCGAGAAGAAGGTATATCCCTTCGTGTTTCGGTGGAATGTTCTATAGATGTCTGTTAAACCCAGTTGGTTCATTACTTCTATTAGTTCTTTTGTTTCTTTGTTAAGTTTCTGTCTGGAGGTCCTGTCTAGCAGTGAGAGCAGAGTGTTGAAGTCTTCTACTATGATTTTAGGTGTGATTTGAGCTTTAGTAATGTTTCTTTCATGAATGTGGGTGCCTTTGTATTTGGGGCATAGACGTTCAAAATTGAGACTTCATCTTGATGGACTTTTCCTTTGATGAATATGAAATGTCCTTCTTCATCTCTTTTGATTGATTTTAATTTGAAGTCTAGTTTGTTAGATATTAGGATTGCTACACCCGTTTGTTTCTTGGGTCCATTTGATTGGAAATCTTTTCCTAACCCTTTACTCTGAGGTAACATCTGTCTTTGACGTTGAGATGTGTTTCTTGTATGCAGCAGAAGGATGGGTTCTGTCTTTGTATCCATTCTGCTAGTCTGTGTCTTTTTATAGGCAAGTTGAGACTGTTGACATTGAGGGATATTAATGATTGATGATTCTTGTTTGTGCTTGATTTTTTGGTAGTGGAGTTATTGTGTGTAGATTCTCCTCCCTTTTTCTTTTGGTGTTTGGTAAAGTGGGATTATTTATTGCCTGTGTCTTTGTGAGTGTAGTTATCTTCGTTGGGTCTAGGTTTACCTTCCAGCACTTTCTGTAGAGCTGGATTCATTGATACGTATTATTTAAATCTTTGTCATGGAATATTTTGTTTTCTCCATTTATAGTAATTGGAAGCTTTGCTGGATATAGTAGTCTGGGCTGGCATCCTTGTTTCCTTAGTGTTTGTAGGACATCTGTCCAGGATCTTCTGGCTTTCATAGTTTCCATTGAGACGTCAGGCGTAATTCAGATAGGTCTGCCTTTATATGTTACTTGGCCTTTTTCTCTAGCTGCTCTTAATATTTTCTCTTTATTCTATAGGTTTGATTATTATATGGCGAGGTGACTTCTTTTTCTGGTCCAGCCTATTTGGTGTTTTGTAAGATTCTTGTATCTTCATAGGCATATCCTTCTTTAGGTTAGGGATGTTTTCTTCTATGATTTTGTTGAATATGTTTTCTGTACTTTTGAGTTGTATTTCTTCGCCTTCTTCTATACCTATTATTCTCAAGTTTGGCTTCTTCACGGTATCCCATATTTCCTGGATATCTTGTGTTAGGGATTTGTTGGTTTTGATATTTTCTTTGGTTGACGACTGTATATCTTCTAATGAGTCTTCAACACTGAGATTCTCTCTTCTCTCTTGTATTCTATTGGTGATACTTGCATCTGTAGTTACTGATCGTTTACCCAGCTTTTCTATTTCCAGCATCCCCTCGTTCTGTGTTTTCTTTATTTCTATTTCAGCTTTCAATCCTTCAACTGTTTGAGTTGTTTCCTTCATTTGTTTGGTTGTTTTTTCTTGGTACTCTTTAGCGTCTTTGAGAAATTTGTTTATATCTTGAACCTTTTCCCCCATTTTATGGATTTTTTTGTTTGTTTTTTCTTCTATTTCTTTAAGGGTTTTCCTCATTTCCTCTTTGAGGGTTTCTATCATCTTCATAAAATAATTTTTAAGGTCTATCTCCTCTGCTTCATCTGTGTAGTGCTTTTCAGGACTTTCTGGCGTTGGTTCTCTAGATTCTGGTGGAGTCATGTTGGTCTTTCTATTGCTGAGTGAGCTCTTATTCTGTCTTCTTCCCATGTCTTCTTCCAGTGGGTGCAGGTGGGGTCTTTCCGTCTCCACTGGTCTCCTTCTTTCTTGAAGCTGCAGCTGGGGACGCTGACACTGAAGCTGAAGCTGAAGTTGGGATCCCTGGAGGTTGGGGCCTGGAAGGGCTGATGCCTTTCCTGTGTTGGCGGGTGTTCTGGATGCCAGAGGCAGGCCCCGGGAAGATTGAGGGGATGGGTGTTGGACAGGGGATGTGGAGTGGCCTCCCCCGGAGACCCAGGCTCACCTGAAGCTGGGGGTCCCCCGAAATTTAACTTTTATAATAAATGATCTTTGACAAGATCACAGTGGTAGAATGTACTGAAAGTATTTAGTAGACTTATGTTTTCATTGTATAAAAATACATAATTTTTTTTTCACTTTCTCCTTGTAGAACTTGAGAGGCCATTAACTGAGTCCCAAATCCAAGTAGTTTGCAAGCAGACTTTAGAGGCGTTGAGTTACTTACATGACAATAAAATCATCCACAGAGATCTAAAAGCTGGCAATATTCTTTTTACCTTAGATGGAGACATTAAATTGGGTAAGTTACTCAGACATTTGAATCTGTGCTCTGAGATTTATCCTGCAATGTAATGGCTTGTTGCTGTTTTGCTCTACCCAGACAAGTAAAACAGGGAGAATTACTCCCAACTGCTCTTGTAAACACTTCAATGGTTAAGCATTCCCCAGTTCTTAGAATTCCTAAGTGTATGCACCTAATGACACATAAAGGAAGTAAAAGTTTGTGTGTTTTATTTTCAGAAACAGACATTTGCAAAACACTAGTTAGGGTCTTTGAATATAGATTTAACCCTTGTTAATGCTTTGTATTTGGAGTATAATGTAATATAATACTAAGCTCAAATTTATTTCTGTTACGCGTATCTATTAGATGTGTTTGTTCCATTGCTCCCCCAGAGTTGCACTGCATAAGCAGGTGCTCTAACCCTGAACTAAACCCCACTTGAGTTTCTCATGTTGTTTTGCAGATATACTTATTAAACTGATGAGAAACCTTAGGTGTGAAAGTAAAATAGGTTAAGGACTAGCATTTAATGTTGTCTTTTATACCAAAGAAATAAATGATGAATGTCATAAAAAGAATTAGATGTAAATTTTAGACTGTTAGATAAGGTCTCTCTCTCTCTCTCTCTCTCTCTCTCTCTCACACACACACACAAATATAAGATACAGCCTTTTAAAAAGGTTTTCTAAGAGACAATTAAAAATTGAACAGTGCTGTCTAAATTTATGTTTTTTGGAAAGGTAAAGTTGTTCAAAAGCCATGTTGATTCCAGTGATTCTAACCATTGTATTCTACATTGTTACAACATGTAGTAAGATATCAGAATGGATGGGATATGCTAAATTTTGTCCGTATTGTACCATAAAGAGATGTGGAAATTCACAAGAAAACCATATACATTTTTATGTTTATGTGAAGAAATTAGACTGGCCAGGCACCTCCAGGTCCTTTCTCTTGCCCAGCTGATCTCAGTCCCCACTCTTCCCCTTCTCACACTTGGTGTTGACTTTTGTTGTCACTCATTTGTGCTTCTTTATGGCTCAGCTATCCCATATTTTTCTCTAAAGTTTAAATTTGCTCTCATATAAATTTGATTTTTGATTTTTCTTTGACATCTCTGTAAATTACACACTTCTTCTCTATTCAGTTTTTGACATGGTAGCATGCATTCTCGTTAAATTAACATTGTTCCAACCAAGAGAACAGTATTTGATTGTTTAGAGGACCAAAAAAAATCATAATGGTTTGTGACCTCTCCAAAGTCCACAGCATGTAAACAGATGCACAGTACATATGTGGTATTAAAATTCCCAGTGCCTGGGATGATTAGGAAAGTGTTCTAGAAAGACTCCTTGTGGTAGTAATGAAAGGCAGAACATTGGATCTGGCCACTAGACCTGTGGTTTTCCCTTTGGCCACACTTTGTGATCACGTGGCCATGATTTCCGTTTCTTTCTGTGTTTCCTTCAGTTAGAGGATGAAGCAAAGACTGGGTAATGGTTGGTGAGACTTGGGTTTAATGCCTGGATAAGACCAAGTGACTGTGAATTGTTCTGTTAGCAGAGCGTGGCCTGCCTTCTGCTTTGATTAGGGTTCTTTGTTTTTTCACTGCTGTGTATTGAGTCCAAGGCCTCACATGTGTCAGGAAAACACTCTACCAAGACCAACAGCCCAAGCTTGTTTGTTTTTGAAGTCCAGATTTCTTCTGTGATTGAGCTGCATGGTGAATTAAACTGTTTTTCATTTGTTATTTTTGATAACTTTATAACCAGTTAATTATTTTCATTTATTACTATGAATTGAAAACAAATTTATAAGAAGACATTAACTGTTTGATTATTTGGGACAAAAATAGAAAAATTTTTTTATTTAGTTTTTAAGATAATTATTTGGTTCTTAGTTCTAGGCTAAAATGGTAGACTTATTACCCACTGAAAAAGTTTACCCTGCCGATGTTCTTTACAACTTAAATCAGAAACCATAAAGCTTCCCATTTTTTCTTTGTAATATAACTAAGGTTTTATTGTAATTGGATTCTGTCTCACACTGTCCTGTAGTGCTTCCAAATAATCTCTCAGAGGCCTATATTAATTATTAATGCTCTACCAATAGCTCCGGTTTATTAGTAGCTAACTCTTCCTTTTAAATTAACCCACATTCCTATCTATTTTGCCTCGAGGCTTAAGGCTCGTTAGCTCATTTTGTATGTGTGCTGCTTGTTCAGTGGCTGTCTGGCATTTCCCCTGACTCTGCCCTTCTTCCCATCATTCTCAGTTTGGCTTTTCTACCTAACCTTATCCTGCCTGATATTGATCAGGCAGCTTCTTTAAAAACCAATCGGAGCATAATTTACACAGTGTACAAGAATATTCCACAACATTTTATTTTATTTTTTAAAGTTAATCTCACTATATAGCTTAGAATAACTTTAAATTTCTGAGTTTTCTGCCTTAGCCTCTCACGTATTAGGATTACAGGTGTACACCACAATGCACAGTTTTTGTAGTGTAATTTAATGAGCACACTGAGGAGATAGAATCCTATCATAAAGGCCATTTTGCTGTGATATCTCCATTGATTTTATTGCAGCATATGATATTTGGCATTTATTTTGAAGTGTATGTTCTGTTTTAATTTAAAGTGACAATTTTTCTTGTTTTTAGTTCTGAGGAATTTGCCTATTACTGTCATTTGAAGACGGATCTAGATGGCTGTCAGTGTGTTTGTGATGATGGTTAAGATTAGAGTGGTAGGGGCTGGAGAAATGGCTCAGTGGGTGATGTGGGGCCCTGATTCTGGATCCCAGGAACCCATGTGAAAACTGGGCTTGGTGATGGATGCTTGTAACCATAGTGCTGGGTTGCTAGAGACGGGAGGAATCCCAGTGCTCTCCAGCCAGCTGCTCTTGCCAACATGGTAAGCTCCAAGTTCACTAGGAAGTCATGTCTCAAAAGGTTAAAAACAGTACAGACAGACACCCCACATTGACCTCTGAACTTCATGAGCATGTATGCATATGCCCCCGCATGCACACATGAACACATGTATACAATACAATACACACAAAAATGAAAAAAATTACAATGGCAGAGAAATCATTTCTCTTTCTGTTGTGCTTACATAAGCTAGGCCTTATTAAGACTTGAAATGTTCCCCTCTCCCATTCCACTAGATACAATGTACCATGCTTACAAGCTGTCATTAATGTTATTATATGATTATCTATTTCAAGCGGATTTTGGAGTGTCAGCTAAAAACACCAGGACAATTCAAAGGAGGGATTCCTTTATTGGCACACCATACTGGTAGGTATTCACTTTTATGAATTTATCTATTAGTTGGGTCTGCAATTATTTCTTTGTCCACACTTAGTCATTATACTGACTGTAGTTGCATAACTGTTAATGTCTTACCTTTTTCATTTTTCTGTCTTCGTAGGATGGCTCCTGAAGTAGTCATGTGTGAGACATCAAAGGACAGACCTTATGACTATAAAGCTGACGTTTGGTCCCTGGGTATTACTTTAATAGAAATGGCTGAGATAGAGCCACCTCACCATGAGTTAAATCCAATGCGAGTGTTGCTAAAAATAGCAAAATCTGAACCTCCGACATTAGCACAGCCGTCAAAATGGTAAGCTCTTTTAAACAAAGTTTTTTTTTTTTTTTTGGTTTTTACGAGACAGGGTTTCTCTGTATTGTTTCGGAGGCTATCGGTCCAGCCCGGCCTCGAACTCACAGAGATCCGCCTGCTTCTGCCTCCCGAGTGCTGGGATTAAAGGCGTGCACTACCACCACCCGGCTAAACAAAGTTTTTAAAGAACCAAAACGTGATGTTCTGTTGTTTTAGTTTGCTAAGCGTAAATTTAAGTTTGGGGATGTGGCACGAAGTCTATGAATGAGGAAACTGATGTGGGTCTGTTTCCAAGACTAGAGGACCTGGGGAGGTGGCTGCTTTTGCAGAGTAGAGGACCTGGGTTCACTTACCAGCACCTACATGATGACTCTCCACTGGCTGTCCTTCAGGTCCTGGGGATCTGATGCCCTCTTCTGGACTCTGTGGGTACTAGGAACACACTTGGAGCTCATATCTGTACTCAAAGTACACATACCTGAGAAAGGCTTAAGGATCATGGACACCATTGTCACCATTTCCCCTGTGTTAGACGGTGTGAATGAGCGGGGGCTGGATGAAGAAGATGTTTTTCTGTACTATAAACAGCTAGGCCCATGTATAGCTGATGAGTATTTGTAGAACTTTTTGTAAGAACGTTTTGATAACTTGTAGAAATATGGCTGCCTCTCATGATCTCCTGTGTGCCTTATTACATGTATGTCTAATGTATTTACAGAATATGTTTCATAAAATCTTGTTCTCATTACACTTGTCATACTAAATCAATACTAATCTATATTAAATATAATGAAGTTAAGCATAATTTATTAAGGAGTTTAGTTTGATTTTTTTTAATAACCAGAAAGTAAAATAAAATGTCATTGTGTCATGTTGACATTTTATTCTGCAGGTCTTCAAATTTTAAGGACTTTCTAAAGAAATGCTTGGAAAAGAATGTGGATGCCCGGTGGACTACATCTCAGTTATTACAGGTGAGATGAGGAGAACATGAAAACAGCATGTCAGATTGTTTTAACGTTGTCTCTAAAAGAATGCCTCTGCATGCACGAGTGCACTGCACATACGTGAATACCACACACACATGTGCACACACACAAATGATAGAAGGTGGTTAGATCAATTTGATTTTACTTTAAAGCAGGGTCTGTTCCTTATATTTGAAATACAAATGTTTCAGATAATATGATAGATAAATAAAAAAACAAATCTGAGGGTAGTGTTTTAGGCTGACCTGTTGTCTGAGGAGAGGGTGTGGGAGCAAGTGCTCAACAAGTGTGTCTCTGTGTCCCTACAGCACACTTCCCAGTGTTTCCTTTCTCCTGGAGTTGAAGATCTGCGCCTGTAACAGACTGTAGTAGTTAGGGTTCGCTAGAGAAACAGAGTTGATAGAATTAATCTCTCTTTATACAATGAACCTGTAACAGACTGTATTAGTTAGGGTTTGCTAGAGAAATAGAGTTGATAGAATTAATCTCTCTGTATACAAACAGGTTTTGTTAGAGAGGCTTACAGGTTATGGTCTGACTATTGCAGCAATGGCTGTCTCCTGAGGGAAGTCTGAGAATCCAGTAGTTGTTCAGTTCACGAGGCTGGATGTCTCAAGTGGTCTTCAGTATGTCCTATAATCCCCACAAGTAGGCTCTGATGTTAGTGGAGGGATGGGCTTGTCAGCGAGACTGAGGGCAAACAGGTGGAGAGCAAAAGCTTCCCTCTTCCATATCCATTGTATAGGCTGCCAGCAGAAGATGTGGCCCAGATTAGGGTGGAGCATCCCACCTTAGAAGATCTGGATTTAGGGCAGGTCTTACCATTTCAAATGATTCAACAGAGAAAAATTCCTCACAAGTATCCCCAGCAGCTTGGATTCTGTCTAATTCAGATGTGGTCAAGTTGACAACCGAGAATAGCCATCACACAGACACTGTTATGAGTTGAAAGCACAAAGAAGAGTGAAATGTCTTTACTTAATGTTAGGATCATTTAACAAAGGAAACAGGAATTCGTAGATAGTTTTTAACAAAATATAAAGGGCTCTGTAAAGTTTTTATTAATACTTTGATGGGATTTATGTAGATACTAATATAAAAAAAATAATGTGTTTGTGCCCGTGTGCGCCCCTTACTTTCCCATGCCCAGTGTGTATTTGGTGGTTGGGATGGTTTCCAGGAGTTGGTTCTCTTCTTCTACTATCTGGTGGTGACTGAACTTAGGTCATTAGTTTGGCAGCAAGGACTTTTACACACAGAGCCATCTCATTGGCCTCTTTAGTTAATTTTAAAGAAGTGATGCCTAAACTTAACACTTGGTTTAAATTTTAACTTAAAAATTATTTATGAAACTCAGACATACACAAAAAACAAATATAATTTCTACTCAGTCATAACAAGTTGTTTTAATTTTTGACAAATGCCTTCAAATTACCACATGAAAGAAAACATAGGGTCTGTAGAATGACTCAGGAAAGGGACCTGCAACCTTGTCAACTGAGCTTGATTTCCATGACCCACGCAGTAGAGAAAACTAACTCGCAAAGTCTGATCTCCACATGCACGTGCATACACACTAAATGAATAATGAAATTCTATTAAAAATAAAAACTAAATTGTACAAAACAAAATTCAGTTGAGACAGTCTTTGCTTCTGCTCACTCTCCTCTCCTTTTTCTTTCTAGGAATATATAACCTAGGAAGTTGTTTATGTTTTTCATGTCCATAATTCATGGTTTTGACACAGGGATTTATTTATGTGTTTATATTTACAAGCATTTCAGTTGTCATTGAGCATGCTTTTTTTATGATTAACAGCATCCCTTTGTTACTGTTGATTCCAACAAACCAGTCCGAGAATTGATTGCTGAGGCAAAGGCTGAAGTAACAGAAGAAGTAGAAGATGGCAAAGAGGAAGATGATGATGAGGAAACAGAAAATGCTCTGGTCAGTGTCATTGAGGATATTTCATTTAGGCAAGTTTTAGAGATGGGTTTTGAGGTCTGGTTGCACATGTATCTGAGCGGTAACAAATGAGGGCAACACAAGGCCTTCAAGTTTAGAAGTGAAGCTGCTAACAAAGCTTCTCTTGTCACCTATTTCCATCATGCTTATTATTGAAGACTGTCGCTTTTTAAAGTTATTTTTATAACTTCAAGTTTTATAGAATATAGTTTAAATGTTTCACATATGAGTATAGATATATAAAGCTATTTGGATGACCACCTTGTGGTTATATTTTAATACTAATAATGTATAAAATCTTTTTTAGCCAATACCTGCAAACAAACGTGCTTCCTCTGACCTCAGTATTGCCAGCTCTGAAGAAGATAAACTTTCACAAAACGCTTGTATTTTGGAATCTGTATCAGAAAGAATAGAGCACAATACTCCTGGGGATAAATTTAGCAACAAAGTTCTAAATGAAAAACCCACCACTGATGAACCTGAGAAGGCCCTGAAGGGTGTGAATGAGCATATGGGTGACTCTAACTTGGAATCTATGGCTGAACTCAATGACCAAACCGTAGAAATCTTTGAGAATGGGAGAGAGAAGAGACCCAAGCTGGAGAACCCTCCTGACACAGAAGACCAACAGCCAGTGGCTGTTAATTCAGTCAGTGAAGGAAATGAGGATAATATAGTGACTTTAGAAATGAACACTAACCATGGGAAACCAGAGGAAGACAGGGTTAAAGAAAACCAAGAGATAGCTGAGAATAAACTTATACAGTCTGAAGAAATTAAAGATATGCATATTCAAACAATGGAGTTAGTTTCTCAGGAGACGGGAGAAACAGAGGCAGACTTCCAGGCAGTGGACAGTGAAGTTAGGTTTACAAAAGAAGATGCCCAGGAGAAACTGAGAAAAGATGATAACACTCAAAAAGTTGCAGTCAGTGAGGTCGTGACAAACGAGGCACTGGTCGCTGCTGAACGGAATGCTGATGGGAAGGAAGCAGAGGAAGGAACCCAGACGTTACCAGAGCAGCCCACAGAGCGCCCTGAGCCTGGTAGTGCTGGGGAAGAGCCTTCTCTTCAAGGAAGAGTTGAGGATAAAGAGCTAGATCAACAGTCTGTGCTGTGTGGAGGTGACGGACAGTTGATCAGCACTTCAGTGACCACACAGGCAGCCATTGAGGAACCAGGGACCCATGAAGTTGAGCAAGTCAGTGAGTCACATAGCACCGAGGAGACAGAGGGAAGTGCGGAGGCGGGTGGTGCTGAGGGACAGGCTCCAGGAAGTGAGGCTGCAGCTGCAGCTGCTGAGGTAGAGTTGGAGAGAAAAGAAGCCGCAGAGGGAGTGCCAGTGAAAGCAGAGCCCCAGGCTCCTGCAGCCTCGCAGTCCAACGAGGAGCCTCCTGTCCTGATACCCAGTATCAGTGTTAACTCTGAAAACACAGAGCATAACGGAGAGGGGGGTGCTTTACCCAAAGCTGAAGGCATTCTGCCGCCAGAGGCTGACAATGAGAAGGAGAATGACACCGACTCAGGGACTGGGGCCACAGTGGAGAAGAGCAGCAGTGACTTGAACTTGTCCATCTCTAGCTTCCTAAGCAAAACTAAAGACAGTGGCTCAATGTCGCTACAAGTAAGTGTGCCACGGCCTTGCTTGCTTGGGTTTTGCTTTGTCATTTTGGTAATTTCTAGTTTGTTGCTATCTTAAAACTATTAAATCTGTATAATAATAGCCCTATGAATTCTTTTGGGATCATAAAGCAATCAAAATGAACTTGAGAAGGAGATTTTTGGATATAATGTGTAAAGATTTTTGATAGAGCCCACAGATTTTTTGCAGACTTGTGTAGACACACAGGACAGGACAGTTTCCTGGTCTCATTTAGCTTCTCTTACACATATCTGACTGCAGTTTTAGTAAGCATTACTGCTACTCCAAAGAACGAGAAACCAAATGGCCTCTTTTTGAAAAGCGTGTGAGTAACCCTTAGCCACTGGCTCCTGTAAACACCACCTTTGCTTCTTTGTTCCTAGCCATCGGTACTGCCAAAAGCATCATGGGGAAAACAAACCCCTAAATACCACCTGCACTTGGAACCATTGAGCATAATTCTCCAGTCTTGTTACTTAGGAGTCACATGGGCAGTTATGTAGAAGCCTAGGAGGCTCCTGTGGGGTAGTGTATGTAGTAAAATAGTATTCCTTTAAATTATATTTTGCTTATTACATTGAATATTTAAGTGTGGGGGCACATGCGTGCCATAGCAAGGACAACTGTGAGAGTCAGTTCTCTGCTACCCGAAGTACTTCTGTGAGAACTACGGGATATTAATTGTGCATACCTTACTGTAGAAGCTGAAGAAACTTGTGAAGTTTGTAGGTTAAGGAATGTGTGTTTGCTTTGTAAAGCGTGTCAGTGTTAGACTTTAGAGGAATGCTGGGGAGGCTGCACTAGTCCAGGTTTGAGGAGAACATGAGGACCTGGAGCCGGATGATGGAGAAGGGAGAGGTTGCTCACAGGTGCCAGAGGCAAACTTGAATTCTAGTCCGTTTCAGTTAGTGCCTTTTCTTCCGCTTGAGACTTTCTGTACTCCTTCTCTCTCTTTCCCCTCTGGTCTCCTCTTCTTCCTGTTTTCCCCTCCTCCCTCCCTTTCTCCTTTCACACTTTTTCTTTCTTTCATTCCCTCCCTTCCTTACTTTCCAGAGTCTTGTTGTGGAGACCCCCAACCTCTCGTCAAACTCCTGAGTGCTGGCCTCCCTTGGCTTTCTAGACACACCCCCCGTAAGCCATGTAATTGTCTCCATATTTAATGTATTTATCAATGTAAAATGTAGCAGTGAGAGCCCCCAACGGTGAAAGAGGAAGAAAAGTCATATATGTAGAAGTCTTCCTGTTTGCTTATATGGGATTTTTATTACTGCTGTACTTCATAATGTAGTGTTGTAAGAGTTGTGTATACACATGGCCAGAATGCCTGATTTCACTGTAAAAGTTGTATTTTTCATCTGCAAAGTTTTCAGCTTAAGTGTGATGTAACTGCTGCACAGGTGAGCCCTGCTGCTTTGTATGTGCTGTGTTCAAGGCTGTCCAGGCATTTTTATTTCTAAAGAGGAAAATGCCTTCCACATGTAGTACTTATACAAAACCTAACCCAAACAAAATTTCATTCAGGAGACAAGAAGACAGAAGAAAACATTGAAGAAAACACGCAAATTTATTGTTGATGGTGTAGAAGTGAGTGTAACAACGTCAAAGATAGTTACAGATAGTGACTCCAAAACTGAGGAATTGCGATTTCTCAGGTGAGTAGAGAAATATATAATTAGCATGAGTTTAAACTTCTTTGCTGTTTCTGAAAACTATGTAGAATGGAGAAATGAGTAAATTGATTTTAAAGTTTAAAATCTTAAAAGTACTCCAGAGTATAATTTGCTTCTTTCTGTTACACTTCGTCAGGCGTCAGGAACTTCGAGAGCTGAGATTTCTCCAGAAAGAGGAGCAGAGGGCCCAGCAGCAGCTCAATGGCAAACTTCAGCAGCAGCGAGAGCAGATTTTCAGGCGCTTTGAGCAGGAGATGATGGTGAAGTCTTTGCTTCTGTGTTATTTCGTCATCAGAGGAGATCTAGTGTTATAGAAACAGTCCTAGAGTAGGCTATACAATCTGCTGTTCGAGGATGAGATTTTTCTTGGTTTTGTGGTGTATTTTTCCAACCTCTGTTTCTGAGGTGTTTTGTATGCTCCTTAAAAGACAAAAATGTCTTGAAAGGGGTCTCCAATCCCTGTCTTATTACTGATTTTATAGTGTACCAAATTTCATAAGCAATCTGTCATGAAAAGTTAGTATTAGCACTCTGGTAGATTGTTTACCAAGTTTTTAGATATGCCTACTACTGAATGCTGCTTTAGTTTTCAAGTTCCTTCTTTCAGCTTACAATAATTTTCCCTTTTCCCCTTTCTCCCTCCAAGTCCTCTCAGGCACCCTTCTCCCCCTTTAAATTCATGATCTCAGACCTTTTTGTTTTTTGCTGATTTGTGTATGTATTCCTAAATATATAAATACAGCATGTTGAGTTTGCACAGTGTTGCTTGTATGTATATCATTTCAGAGCTGACCATTTCAATTCAGAGAACCAATTGGAGGCCTTATCCCTGGGGAGACTGTGTCTCCCACTCTCAGCGTTCCTTAGTTGCCTGTAGTTCTTTGTCTAGGGTTGGGCCCCATCATATCTATTGATGTGGTCCTTCAGGAACTGTAGTTCTTTGTCTAGGGTTGGGCCCCATCATATCTATTGATGTTGTGGTCCTTCAGGAACTGTAGTTCTTTGTCTAGGGTTGGGCCCCATCATATCTATTGATGTTGTGGTCCTTCAGGAACTGTAGTTCTTTGTCTAGGGTTGGGCCCCATCATATCTATTGATGTTGTGGTCCTTCAGGAATTGTTTTGGCAGCTATATTGTTGAGACCTCAGGGGTGTAGTTTTCCCAGCATTTCTAGGAGACTCATTCTCTCAGCAGATGTCCTGGTCCTCTGGCTGTTGTGATCTTTCTGCCTCTTCCACAGTTTTCCCTCCACCTTAGCTGCAGGAGCTGGGTTGTAGATGTCTCATTTGGGGCTGGGCACCGCATGATCATTTGTTCTCTGCATTTTAATTAGTTGTCATTTTCTGTAATGTTCTCCATCTGTTGCAAAGAGATTTTTGTTTGTTGTTGAGGGGTGAGAGCTACAGTTATCTGTAGGTATAAAGATAAATATTTAGAATACAACCAGGAATTATTCTGGTTTTGTAAAGTGGTGGTTGTAGGTTTCCCTCCAAGATCCATGACCCTAGGTAGGTTGTCTAAGATTCTAGTACCAGGCATGATTTCTCTCTTGTGGAGTGAGTCTTAAGTCCAATTATAAAGTTGTTGTTTACCACCAAAATATGAGTGCCGCTATGGTTATTATGCTGTGCCTGGTTGTTGTAGTTCATAGGTGTTAATATCTTGGTAGGACAAGGAGTAAGCGTTCATGGAATCTTCTGGTATCACAAAAGCTAGTCCCTTAGGGAGGAGGCATTCAGGTTAGATCCAGCTTGAAATTTTATGCAACCTCTGGGAGGCGACCAAGGGCAGCAGCAGTAACAAGTGTTTGGGGAGTCTCTTGGACTCCCCTGACTAACAGCTCATAAGGGGGCTTCTGATGCCTGATAATAGGGCTTTTGCTAGAGTGTTTGGAGTCTCTTGGACTCTCCTGACTAACAGCTCATAAGGGGGCTTCTGATGCCTGATTGTCTGTGGCTTTTGGGGGGATGATGACATTCTGTGGGGGGGTTTCATTTAGACTATGTATGTATGTGTATATGTAGAGACTTAGATGTATTATATGTGTAATTTTAGATAAGTGGTAATAAGGATTTCTTATGACTTTTCCAGACATCCTTACTGTTATGTTTATCTTCCCTCTTCTATGTTGGCCTTTCTCCCATTCCTAATCCTACCCCAGCCCCATTTCTCCTAGTTACATTTACTTGCTAGTCTCCTCTCTGTTGTGCCTTTCCTTCTGCCATGATCCCTTGCTACTTTCCTGGCTTCTGGATTACTCGGGATTACACACTCAAATCTGAAGATTTGAAGTTAAGAGCTATAATGAAAGAAAACATGTGTTTGTCTTTCTGGGACTGGGTTAACTCACTCAGTATAATCTTTTCTATTTCCATCCATTTGCCTGCAATTCCATGACTTCACTTTTTTGTAGCTGTGTGGTATTCTATGGTGTATATGTACCACATTTTCATTATCCATTTGTCAGTTGCAGGACATTTATTCAGGGTGGTCCCATTTCCTAGCTGTTGTGACTAGAGCAGCAATGAGCATGGCTGAGCAGGCATCTGTGGGCAGGATTGTCAAGTAGGTAGCCAGTCTGTCAAGTCCTTTGGGCACATGCCAAGGAGTGGCATAGCTGTGTCCTCTGGGAGATTTATTTTTAGCTTTTTGAGGATTCTCCACACTACAGTAGCTGCAGCAGTTTGCAGTTCTGCCACAGTGAGTGAGGGTTTCCCTCTCCTCTACCTCTCTTGCAGCATTTGCTGTCAGCCATTCCGTTGGTCTTTTCCTTCTGCTTGGGGTTAGGTGAAATCTCAGAGTTGTTTTGAATTGCATTCTCTGATTACTAGGGATGATGAACATTTATTGAAATATTTTAGTTTCTTTTGAGAACTCTCTGTTCGGCCTCAGGCCCAGATTTGAATGGGTTGTTTGTTATTTTTGACTCTTTGTTTTTTTGGGTTCTTTATATATTCTGCATATCAATCCTCTGTCTGAGTTAGGACTGGCAAGGAGTCTTTCCCATTCTGTGAGCTTCCTCTTCAGCTGATTGTTTCTTTAAGATGTTAGAGGCTTTTTAGTTTTATGAAGTCCCACTTATCAATTGTTGACCTTAGTTCGTGGGCAAATGGGGTCCTACCGAGGAAGTCCTTTGTTAAACCTTTATCTTGGAGAATACTGCCTATGCTCTCTAGACTCTGAAGTTTTAAGGAGATCTAGAACAGTTGTTTTCAAGCGGGCTGACGTTTTTAGCAGGTTTTCACAATTTTCTTTTTTCACTGGCCCTTATCTGTAGTTAAGCCCACATCTCCACACCACTGTTGCTGTAGAAAGCGCTGCTGTGGCACTGGTTGCTGAGGCCCTCAGTTTTCACACGTGTCCACGGCTGGGAGGTGTACAAAATTTCAGTTCAGCATCCAGCTTAAAGTATGTTGGAAAAAAAGATAATTTAAAAATAATACTGAAATTTAAATTACGGTTTTTTGTAGCTTTGTAATGTAAGTGTTGAGGACTGTTGTTTGTGTTCTGTGGCTTTGTTGATTTTGTATTCCGTCACCACAGCAGGTTCCCAAGAAAATAATGAGAGGTATTCTCACTGAGTGCTTTTGCAGTCTTCTTTGTCTGTTTTCCAAAATTTGAGAAATTGTGTCTTTTCCCTCCATAGATTATTTTCTGAAACGTTTTCTTTTATTTTTGAGGGTGTGTTGTTGTTTGTTTGTTTGAGACAGTGTCTCACTCTGTAGTGTTACATTCCTGCCTCCATTTCTCAGGTACTGGAATTAGAGCCATGTGCTACCGTACCTGGCTTCAACTTACTTCTTTCTTTCTTTCCTTGCATACTTTTGAATACATATTTCTATATTTAGAATTGCATAACTACTTGAATATTTGATGAATTAAAGTGGTAACAGACTGCATTGTTTTACAGAGTAAGAAGCGACAATATGACCAGGAAATTGAGAATCTTGAGAAGCAGCAGAAACAGACAATTGAACGACTAGAACAAGAACATACGAACCGCTTGCGAGATGAAGCTAAACGAATCAAAGGAGAGCAAGAGAAGGAGCTGTCCAAATTCCAGAATATGCTAAGAAACCGCAAGAAGGAGGTAAGTGCAGCTGCGTTATTAATTATCATAGCTGTTTTTAAAATGCAAATTGAAGACTATCTAAGGAGTTAGGAATAATAGCTGGTAACTGAATAGCAGTCATTCATTCATTCCTTTGTTCTTTTTTCTAAACAGTGATAGGTGGCAGTTAGTGAGGTCAGATATTATCCTCATTTTACTGCCAAGAAAACAGGAATAAAAGAGGTTTCTGTGCTCCATCTCCCTTAATTTTGAGCCAAATCTTCAAATGAAGTTCAAGCTGTATTTCATTCTGTCATTTCCCTCTTATTAATGCAATATTTAGGGTCTTATTTAGAAATGCTTTTTCAAGAGAATTTAATGTCATTGGTATTTACCAGTGGCAACAAGAATTATCATTTACAAATTACTTGATTTTTGAATTTTCTGTTAGGTTTAATGATTTTCTTAGACATAATGATTTTCTTAGACATTCTGCCAAACAGAAACTGAATAGCTTGGTATTCAAAATAGCATAAGATAATGTGATTATAAAAAGGCTTTTGGCTTTTCTGAGTTTCTTCCGTGATGTTACAGAACTGATTGTTGTCGGCTCATAGAGAAGCTTCCCGTGTTTGTCCTTTTGTCCCAGGACTGAAATAACATACATCCAAGCAGTTTTCAGTGAGAATTTTATGACTTGTTCTATGTCTTTGGTACAGGAGAAAGATTTACATTTTCATTTGCATTACATTTCAGGATATAAATAAACACCCCAGGGGAAAAATGGTCAGTTCTATTGGGATTGGAAGAAAGTATCTCAACCAAACTAAGAAAGATATTTTCACTTTCATTACACGTCTCAGTTACCAAAATTTTAACATTTGCCTTTAGCATTTGCTTGGGAAGAAAACTGAACATTACATTGTTGAATGTTAAGGATGTGTCCAAGTAGGACTGAGCAGTATCAGCAAGTACTTCATACTTTGCTTAGGTCAGTGTGCATACTGGTGTGTAGCATTGTTTGCTGTAGCCACAATTTCTAACTGGTTGTGTATTTTTGTTATGTCTTAACAGAGTTGCTTCATATACCATGATAAAGACCTGTGCTAATTAAAAAAAAAACTCTGCGTCATTTGCTGAGAGGTTAATGTTTGTATCAGATTAAATTAGAAGATGTAACTATTTAATTCTAGATGAATAAGTCTATAGTTACTGTTTTGAGTTTGGAGAGTTTTAACTTGTTATGTTTGAGATCATGATGTGTTTATATTTGATAATCTCATTGTGTATTTTTTTTCCTTATTGCCAAACTTCTTGCATTTGGGGAGTCTCTTGCTTTTACTGGTGATTTGGTTTCATGAGGAATTGCTAATGGGAACTTTAAGGACACTGTTAAATCAAAATCAGTCTCTTTCCTGGGTGCCAGTGGCATGTGGTGACTTGGAATCTGGGTTCTTTTGGTGCTTTTATTTATAAACACATGCTCCTTTTTCAGATCTGAACTATAGATCTTTTGGCAGATGAAAGTCACATTTAGGTTTTTGGGGAAAAAAGGAATTTAAAGATATACTTCATTTTAAAACATACTTTGGTGTAAGAAGTCATAGTTTAGTAAACTTTTTTTTGGGGGGGTTTATGAGACAGGGTTTCTCAGTATTGTTTTAGAGGCTGTCGGTCCAGCCTGGCCTCGAACTCACAGAGATCTGCCTGCCTCTGCCTCCCGAGTGCTGGGATTAAAGGCGTGCGCCACCACCGCCCAGCTAGTTTAGTAAACTTTAAGAATGCTTACCTTACTGATTTTTGATGTTGACCAGCTTGGCTTTGGCTTCAACAGAGAATATTATTCAGTCCTACAAAAAGTCATTAGGTATATTTTTGTCACACCATGTATAAAGTGGTATATTTTATGGAAAAAGTTTAGTGTCCACTTATTTTCCCTTGTTCATTTGAAGTCCCACTTCCCTTCTTCCCTTTCCTACCCTGGTGTCATGAAGGGGATCATCTAGAACTGTTTCTTTGATGTTGTCAAGCCTGTTGTAAAGTTTTCACTTTATAAATGGAGTTAGCTTTTCATGTGTTCAGTGTCTCAAACAATATCGAAAGGTATGTTTGTTTGATCTCTCAAGAAGGCAGTTGAATCTGTCCCTTTTACCTCAGCCCTGGTGCTGTGAGCACGCCTTCACTGATTGGTGTGTGGGGACAATCAGGCAATGAGTGAACGTGTGTGCTGCGGTGTCCCTTTCTGTACTGAGATTAAGCATGCTCTGTCTTTTTATTCTTTTCCACCAACTAACGCTTTTGCTAATGCATGTTGAAAGGAATCTTTAAACAACCTGAATGTTGATTTGTAGCTTTCGGCTCACGTACGCATGTGCTTTCTGTGGAGAAAGTATTATTCCCCACCTCCTGCATGCTTTACACTGTAGGTTATAAATGAAGTGGAGAGAGCACCCAAAGAGCTGAGAAAAGAGCTCATGAAGCGCAGGAAAGAGGAGCTTGCACAAGGCCAGCATGCTCAGGTAACAGCAGCAGCTTCCTGCTACTAAAAACAGAAAGCAGCCTTTTCTCTCGGCTCCATAGACCATGGCTGACAGAGGAAATTTAACTGTACTTATTATTTAATGTTGAACTTTCCCCATCCATAGACACCAGGGTCTTGTCTTCTTAAATAATGCCGAATTTATACTTGGTGATGTTTAAATTGCTGATATGAAAGTAACTGACGTGTTTAGAAAGTTGATGCCAGACAAAAGAAACAAATGCATTAGTGTTGTAATGGCTACTGCTACCTGATTTTTATCATGATGGGAGCCTATGTCTTTAAGAAGTGGTACCAGTGCTTGCTAGAAGACCTTTAGGGCAGAGTTGGGGGTAGGTATGTAATTCTGTGCTTAGAAAAAGAATGCCTATTAGGAAACTATTTAGAATAAAAATGGTAAATTTTATTATTAAATAGTAGGTCATACATTTAATTATTTTTAAGATCAACAACATAATCAACTTTAAAGACAAACTTTTAGTACATTGTTTCTTTTTGATTTAGAATTCGAAAGCTAGCTGGGCAGAATATTTTTACAAGATGGATGAATGAATATTTTAACAGAATATTCCAGTTACTTCAAAGTATTATCCTTTTAATGTGGTTTTATGTAATAAAGAAAAAATGATTCCTAAACCTTTAGGCTTTAGACTTTATAAGACCCTAAAAAGAAACACAGAAATAACAAAACTCCATAGGTACCTTGGCATATACTGCCACTGAAGTGTGTGTGTGCACGCGCACATATGTGTATGTGTGCAGTAAGGATATTTTTAAACTACTGTTTGTCTACTGCTGTTTCAGAGCTGATAATATTTTAATATTACAAAAAAAGAAGGAAACTGTGATCTTAGAACTCAAATTTTAATAGTCAGCTTAGTTGAATAGAATTAGTATTTTTTCTTGCCATAAGGCACTGAGATATTTTTGTCTTAGTGTAGTTATATGTCTAGTTGAAGAATATGGTGACAGACAATATTTGCTTTGCACCTAACACTTGTTCTGATGCTCCACATATCTGAGCTCAGTCTCACAATGAGCATCACCTCTGTCTTAGCAGTGAGGGAGTAAGTACAGGAAGGGAAATGACTCACCCAGTGACACATCTGGCAAATGGTAAAACCAGGATTCTCACCCAGACAACTTCAGCTCCATGTTCATATACTGGTGTAGGCGGAGCTTTCCTGTCCTGCAGCCACTCTCACATAAACACACTGAGGCTTATATTAATTAAAAAAGGGTCAACCAATAGCTCAGGCTTATTACTAGCGAGCTCTTACATTTTAAGTTAACCCGTATTCCTTATGTACGCTTCAAGGCAGTACCTTTTTTCAACACAGCATCATCATGTCCTGCTCCCTCTGCATCTGTCTGGTAACTCCTCTGAGTCCACCCTTCCTCATCCCATCATTCTCCTAGTTTGGCTTTACTGTCTAACTGTATCCTGTTCAGCTACTGGCCAGTCAGCTTGTTTATTAAACCAATCGTAACAACACATGTTCACACAGTGTGCAGAAGGATTATTCCACAGCAACTGAATTGCCAGAGAGCATATCATGCTGCCCCCTCTTGTCAAGGGTGCTCACTCTGTCTGGTCTGGATGCTCATCTGTATGCTCATCTGTGAATGTGGGAAAGGGAGTCTTTGCTGGCTACGCAGTTATTCTTAGTTTAGATTCTAAACTAGATAATAAACAATAATAATATAGTTTTGCTTTAAAGGGACTATAACGGATGATTTTTAGTTCTAAAAATATATCAAACTTGAGAGTTGAGAATAAGTATTTATTGTTGGAGAGCAGGAGTGCTGCGGGCTGAGCTAGGCCTCCAAGACTGGGAGAGTATGAGCTCCTTGGGCCGTGCTACAGCAGAGGCATCTATAAACTATCCGACCACTGGAACCTCAGCTCCAGCCCTGCCTACACATAGAGGAGCTATCACTGGAGACGCTACCCTGCCTCTACCTGAAGGAGCGTTCAACGGAGTCACAGCTCCCAACTACACCAATTGGAGAAAGAGGACCCTGTGAAACACAGACTTCTTCTGTACTGGTTGGAGGAAGAGATGGGTGGACAACAATATAAGAATACATTAAACAACGCAAAGAGCAATAGAGCACCATGAGAAACTAGTGTTTCTACAACAGCAAGACTTAACATCCTAATGCAGATGAAGCGGAAGAAAACAACCTTAAAAATAACTTATGATGATGATTGAGGCCCTTAAAGAGGATTTGAAAAATTCCATTAAAGAAAGGGAGGAAAAAACAAACAAAACATTGGGTGAAAAAAAAATCCCTAAAAGAGAACCAAGAAAGAGCAATCAAACAGGTGAAGGAAATAGTTCCAGACTTGAAAACTGAAGTAGAGGCACTAAAGAAAACACAAACCGAGAAACTCTGGAAGTGGGAGAACTGCAGATGCGAGCATAAACAACAGAATACAAGAAGGGGAAGAGAGAATCTCAGGCGCTGAAGATACGATAAAGGATGTAGATTTCATTGGTCAAAAAAATGTTAAATCCAACAAATTCTTAACACAAAATATCCAGGAAATCTGGGACACAATGAAAAGACTGAACCTAAGAATAATAGAAATAGAAGAAGGAGAAGAGGTATAGCTCAAAGCACAGAAAATATATTCAACAGAATCGTAGAAGAAAACTTTACCAACTCAAAGAAGGACAGGCCTATGAAAGCACATGAAGCTTACAGCACACCAAATAGACTGAACCAAAAAAAAAAAAAAGTTCCCTTTCCCATAATAATCAAAACACCAAACATGCAGAATAAAGAAAGAATATTAAGATCTGCAAAGGAAAAAGACCAAGTAACCTATAAAGGCAAACCTATAATCAAAATATCAAACATGCAGAATAAAGAGGAATATTAAGATCTGCAAAGGAAAAAGGCCAAGTAGCCTATAAAGGCAAACTTATCAGAATTACACCCAACTTCTCAGTATAAACAAAGCCAGAAGGTCCTGGTCAGGCGCTATGCATACACTAAGAGACCATGAATGCCAGCCCAGAATACTATATCCAGAAAAGCTTTCAATCACTATAGATGGAGAAAACAAGATATTCCACAACAAAACCATATTTAAACAATACCTGTCCACAAATCCAGTTCTACAGAAAGTACTAGAAGGAAAACTCCAACCCAAGGAAGTTAGCTACACTAAGAAGAGCATACCAGCAAATTCAAAAGAAGGGAAACACACACACACACACACACACACACACCAAAGCAACAACAACAACAATAAAAACAAAAATAACAGGAACTAGCAATCACTGGTCATTAATATCTCTTAATATCAATGAACTAAACTTGCCTATAAAAAGACACAGACTGGTTGGTTATAAAAACAGAATCTATCCTTCTGCTACATAAAAGAAACACATCTCAACCTCAAAGACAGACATTACCTCAGAGTAGAGGGTTGGGAAAGATTTTCCAGTCAAATGGACCTAAGAAACAAGCTGGAATAGCTATCCTATTATCTATCAAAATAGACTTCAAATAAAAACTATTCAAAAGGGATGAAGAAGGACATTTCATATTCGTCATAGGAAAAATCCATCAACATGAAGTGTCAGTTCTGAACATGTATGCCCCAAATACAAGGGTACCCTCATTTGTAAAAGAAACATTACTAAAGCTTAAATCACACATCAAGCCCCATACATTAAGAGTGAGAGACTTCAACACCAGAATCTCACCACTGGACAGTTCTGCCAGACAGACACTTCTCAGAGAAATAAAGGAACCAACAGACATTATTCAAATTGGCTTAATGGACATATATAGAACATTGCACTCAAACACAAGAGTATACCTTCTTCTCAATACTTCATGGAACCTTCTGTAAAAGCGACCATGTACTCAGTAACAAAGCAAACCTCAACAGATACAAAAAAGTTAGAATAAACATCTGTATCTTATCAGATCATCATGACTTAAAGCTAGAATTTAATAACACCAATTGCAGAAAGCCCACAAACTCATGGAAATTGAACAGTGCTCAACTGAGTCAACACTGGGTCAAGGAAGAAATAAAGAAAGAAATAAAAGACTTCCTGAATTCAGTGAAAGTGACCGCACAATATACCCACTTATGGGACACAGTGAATGCAGTGCTAGGAGGAAAATTCATAGCACTAAATGCCTACGTAAAGAAACTAGAAAAATCTCACACTATCGAATTAATAGAACACCTACCTACCAGAAAGCTTAAGAACAGAAAGAAGGAAACTCATCCAGGAGGAGTAGATGTCGGGAAATAATCAAATTGAGAGCTGAAATAAACAAAATAGAAACAAAGAAAGCAATATAAAGAATCAATGAAACAAAGAGTTGATTCTTTGAGAAAATCAACAAAACAGACAAACCTTTATCCAAATTAACCAAAAGGGAAAGAGAGATAATATCAAAATTAACAAAATCAGAAGTGAAAAAGGAGATACATCAACAGACACTGAGGAAATCCAGAGAATCATCAGGTCATACCTCAAAAACCTGTACTCCTCAAAATTGGAAATTTTAAAGGAAATGGACTATTTTCTGGATAAGTATCATATACCAAAATTAAATCAAATTAAATAGACCATAACCACTATGGAAATAGAAATAAGCATCAAGAGTCTCCCAACCAAAAAAAGGCCAATGCCAGATGGTTTCAGCACAGAATTCTAACTGAAGTTCCGAGAAAAGCTAATACCAATACTCCTCAAATCGTTCCACACAATAGAAACAGAAGGAACATTGCCAAATTGTTTTCAAGAGGCTACAGTTACCCTGATACCCAAACCACATAAAGACAAGAAAGAGAATTACAGACCAGTCTCTCTCATGAACATTGATGCAAAAATAATTGCAAACTAAATCCAAGAACACATCAAAAAATCCACCATGACCAAGTAGCTTTATCCCAGAGATGCAGGGATGGTTCAGTATATGAAAATCTATCAATGTAGTCTA